TCATAAAAGTTGTTTTGGTTTTAATAACGGATTTTCCATAATTCAGCAACCCATATTTCGAAAATAATATTCATTTTTTCTATCACGTAATCATTTCTTACAAATAGGAAAGAAAAAAACTCTTACTTAGATCAAATTATTATTTCGTTTACCACAGTGAACTTTTTATTATTATGTTTGTGAATAAAAATACAAACAAACTGAAGTAAAGGAAAGAACATTGATGTCAAACGAATATTCATCCTCATTCATCCTGATTTTTTTGTGTGAAACTTACGTCTTTTAGTTTCAAAACTACGTGTTATGGTCTTTCTTTTATGTATTGCGTTATGGCGTTTTGTGAAAAACCTCTACATGATGGAGAAAAATGAATATCATTTTCGGATTCAGCGTACAGGAATTACTATAGAACATATAAACATTTTAAGACAATAAAACCATCGCAGGCCTGTGTAATTAGAATTTTGACATGATATTATTTCGAAAATCGCACACGTTATAACTCAAGAAAGACAGAAATAGAAACTGAGTTTAAAATATGGATTAAAAGATATTAACAGTATTCAAATAAGAAACTTGCTAACCAACCTGAGCTCTGTCGAACACATATAGAAGGACTAAAGGTATTATTACAGGAAGTTGAAACTGGTTCCAGTTCGGTTCGATTTTCTCGTTTCTTCACTAACTTGCAACATGTTTCTGAAAAAAACACATAGTAAATGCCAGTACATAACCCCTTACTTTGTAAGTTTCAATATCTTAATATTTTATATTTTATTTTAAATATAGTTTATATTTTATGGTACATTTAAACTGGTTTCTGTATAGCGTGATTACATATTAACCATTAATTCTTCGTGTAATAAGACAGGGCAAAATATTTCTAATATATATATCACGATAATTATGTTTCGAAACGTTTTAAATATACTTAACCAGGATCAATCAACGCCTAATCATTTCAAGTAACTGGTGGGTTCTTATTATTCTTCCCAATTTCATAAAATAATTTTCATATAGACCAAGCACACATAATGGATGAGAAGAGTAGGATAAACCCAATAAAACACATATTTATCCTCATTGTCATACGTACTGGAGTGAAGAGACTTACACTGGCTAATATACTAGTCTAAGCGACATTGTAACTAGATTATTATGTCAAAAGGTTTCCTTTTAAAGAGGCTAGATTTTAAATTGTTATAAATTGGATAATATTAACAATAAACGAATTATGGATATAATTACCACTATAATCTGTATTTAGTATTGTTTTTATATTTACCTGGATCGTCTACTTCACAATCAGTATCAATCAACCAGAAATTCTCTGTGGTGTCTTTGATAATATCAGATGAGATAAAACTTTGGACTACATAACTGGAAGTCTCCCCTAGTTCTCCTAATTGTAAATTCGTGTCTATTTCGAGACAAGAATTTGCAGCTTGTCCAGCAGAGGTCGCTGTTTCCATTAACTGGAAACACTGATTTTGGAAATTTATCCATCCATCTTCACAAGGAAGATCTAGGTTGAAAGGCACAAACATTTAATATTGTAAATGTTATCTAGATTGAAAGGCACAAAACATTTAATATTGTAAATGTTATCTAGGTTGAAAGGCACAAAACATTTAATATCTTAAATGATTTTTTTTCCATATCATTGCATTTCGACCCCATTAAAGCAGTTTGTTTTAAATATGATAGCTCTACTGTCATAACTTTCATGTTTCAAATTCGCAAACTTTTATCTAGAAATTATATAACTAGGATAACTGAAATAATGATAAAACTTTGCTATTTTCACTGTGTATATTCTAGGCAAGAAATGTTGTTTTCGGTTCATACAAAATACAGTATCTAGTTTACGTACACATTCGTGTTGAGAGACAACTTACAAGCAGTGATTTCTGTGGAACGGCATGATATATTAATGTCATCCATCACACAAATCAGGGATATGTTGTATGTTGTACCCAGCAACGTGTTCTCTGCCAAAACTTCTCTAGTGATGGACGAAATGTTCTTGGTCATGGCGTTGTTTTCTAAATTGTAATATGTTACGTATTTCTCGGGTCGCAAGTAACTGACAATCGTCTGGGTAGAAGCTGGGTCAAGAACAGTGACAACAGACGGTAGGTTCCACTTGACGTGGATTTGACCTTCTGGCGTTGTTACAGCTTGTATATCAGTCAAAGGTATGACCTCTGAAAAACAAAGCAGAATAAGTTATTTTATTATCAAAAAATTACAGTCATTTTATTTATGTATATTATTTTCATCAATTATATAGATAAAATTATTGAATTTCGTCTTTAAAATATCGTGTTCGTATTTTTGAGGAGACTCGTTTAAAAGTAAAACTAATAATTATCAAATCTTCCTCTTACCAGTTGTACAACCGTAGACTTCTACTCGTAAGCATACGGTGTCGCCCCCTGACAGCTGTAATGTCACACTAAGACGCACATACCGTGCTAGCTCCACCTGGAGACCAGTATGATGATACATAATATCATCGGTGGTAGTGTTTTGGTCCGTAAAGAAATACTGAAGGGCAAAAATAATTCGTAAGGTTTTGGACAGGAATTAATCAATTTAGTTTAGTTACATTTTCATGAATAACTTTTAATATAGGACAAATTGAAGTTTCCATTAACTAACCTATATATATATATACATATGATTATCAGAATATGTGATAAGAACAAATATAACATTATCTTACTATAAGGATGATAAATTATGTATGTGTGTGTTAGCATTTATCACCTACTGTTGGCTGACTCAATTACCACAATTTTTATATGGTAACTGGAGAGTGAGTTAAAAAAAGACGCTAAAATGGGGCACATTTCCACTTATTTACATACTTTTGGCTTTGATTTTAAAAACAAGGTATACAGTTAGCATCTAATGAAGTCATTCGGGGTTTAGTAACAAAAAGAAGGAAGGGGAAACATTACCTAACATTGTCCTTTATACAATTTTTGCTTCCTTAACGGGTACGCTTAGCTAGTCTGTGTAATATCATAGATAGGAAAGTTCCAACGTAAGATTAAAATTTATGAAGGTTACGATAAAAAATTTCAGTTACTAACAACGTAAACATGTATGATACCGACAAACGAAAAAGCAAATTGCAGAACGTAGAGATCCCAAAAACAGTGCTAAAGATGCAGTAAGAGTGCTCTTTGTAAATATTAAATTCTCACCTTCCGAGGAATTGGATCTATAGATATCCCCAGATATATTATTGCTTAAAATTTATTTGATAACGTCACATTTGCCTTACCACAGATTTTAATAAACAAGAACTTCGAATTAATGACGTTTAGTTGTTGTTGAGATTCATGTTAATTTGATACAAATAACCAATCATGATTGACTGAATCAAAATCAGGTTTATTAAATAATAAAATGATTAAATTAATATATGTATTTTAATCTATATGCGTTTGTTTGTTGTGTAACGAATTTGTTATTATATATTTATTTTAATATCAACATTGTTTAGATTAAGTTTATATTTAGAAACATACATAGCTGATACTGTTAAATATGTATTGCGAAACTCCCGCCCATTCTCCAAAGTTGTAGAAGATTCTCGAGAGCAAGAATCAACAATATATGTGTGTACATAAACACTAAAATTGTATTGTTACGTAATCTGAATTTTCTATAAAACCTTCCCACTGCTATAAATATAACCAACGCAACGCGCCAAAGAGAGTATATATTATTAGTTTGCTATAGTTAGTGTGCTATAAACTTCGGAAGCTATAACTGTG